CAGGCGCCCCCCGCCGCCCCGTGGGACCCGGCGGCGCGCTCCGTCCCTCCGCCCCGTCGGCCTCCGCGCGGGCTCCGGGCCGAGCGCGCCGCCCCCTCGGGGTCCCCGCTGGGCGGGGCCGCGCGAGGTTGGAGTGCGGGCGCGGGGACGCGGGCGAGCGCGGGCGCAGCGCCACCCGGCTGTCTGCAGCGGAGCTCGGCGCCCTCGCCCCCCGGTCCGTTCGTCGTGCGGTATTTACCCAGCGGATCTTTAAAATAATCACATTTTTAAAAGCACTTTGCTCCGCGCGTCTCCCTCACGGCCGCGTTAGTCGGGAGTGTGCGGCGGGCGGGGGGAGAAGCGGCTCCGCTCCGGTCGGAAAACACCGAGAGACCAGCCCGGCTCTCTCGGCAGCGAGGAGGAGAAGCCGTCGCGGGCCCCGGCGACACCTGCACGTCCCGGTCGCGTTGCGCGCACGTCCCTGACTGTGCCCGACGTCCCTCGAGCGGGCAGGCATGGGGTGTCTGGGCAACAGCAAGACGCCGGAAGACCAGGGCGTCGACGAGAAAGAACGACGCGAGGCCAACAAGAAGATCGAGAAGCAGCTGCAGAAGGAGCGCCTGGCGTACAAGGCGACTCACCGCCTGCTGCTCCTGGGTAAGGCCGGCGCGGCTCCGGCCTCGGCGGGGCGCAGGTCCCGGGACGCGGCTCACAGCGTTGTTCTCGTTTGCTTGCAGGGGCCGGCGAGTCGGGGAAAAGCACCATCGTCAAGCAGATGAGGATCCTGCACGTGAACGGCTTTAACCCCGAGTAAGAGCGATCGGTCTGGGTTCTGCCTCCAAACTGCATGCGCTGCCCCTTCCTTCCCGGCCTTCCCGGAATTCGCTTGGTAACTGAGTAGACCTTCGAAGGGAGAAAAATAGATGTGAGCTGTGGGATTTGGTCCATTGGGGCAAATCCTTCTCTGGCGCTGACTAGTTTGAAAAATAACTTGCTTAGCTAAATATGATCTGCTAGATACTCTTGGAGTATCGGTTTGTTTTACTGGTGTTGCTCTGAGCACACTTAATATGTCAATATATATTTTTAATATCTTTGTTGCACGTGTTTCAGTTTATAATAGCAACAGATTTAAGTAAAACATATTTACAAGTATAACTATAGTTGTACTTATGTGCAATATCCATAGCGATTTTGCCATTGCTTTTCTAACAAAATGGGATTATTTAAAGCTGTGGGTTATAAAATGTGTGCACTCAAGTTTGTTTAGAGTACAGATTAGAAAAGAGGGATATTTTCCTTTCCCAGATAAAACTTGTACAGGTGTTGTCTTGGAGGTTGGTATTGACCTCTTGTGAAACCAGTCCTGCTCAGTGCTGCAGCAGGAAAGGTAAAATCCCACTCAGTTGACTGGAATCAGTGCTAAGGGTAAATTAAGCTAATAACAGTTCTCTTTCAATACAGGGAAAAGAAACAGAAAATTCTAGACATTCGGAAAAATGTTAAAGATGCCATTGTGGTAAGGACCTTTTTCGTGTTTGTTTACTAGAAAGTTTATTTAAATCGTGTAGACAGAGATGTATTTTAGAGTATGTATTTTGGAGCCTAAATCCACGTTTTTTTCTTCACCCCATTAAGACGATTGTTTCGGCAATGAGTACTATCATCCCTCCGGTTCCTCTGGCCAACCCTGAAAACCAGTTTCGATCAGACTATATCAAGAGCATAGCCCCTATCACTGACTTTGAATATTCCCAGGTAAGTAAATCCTTACGGAAGTATTTTAAATAGTGAAAGATGGAAACAATTTTAATGAGGTCACATATTGAGAATCAATGTTAATACTAATTCATTATCAACTTTGTTCAAGATCTAGCTCTTTAAATGCTGAAGAGGAATGCTTTTTCTGTACCAAAATGTTTGTGTTTGTTAAAAATACTAAAGACAACAAGATTATCAGAAATGCTTTTTCGAATGTATAGGGTAAGGCTGATAATGAGGAATACTGCATACCTTTAAGAAATGTTGATAGTGCCTTTGTCCTGGGTGTATTCTTAAATTAACAATTCAGCATTTGCCAGATAACAACATTAAAAATTACATGAGTAGAGAAAAATGCTTAGGGTAGGTCATCTTCTCCATGGGATTAACAGAAAGAACAAAATTCAGTTTACTCTTAAGATGTGCATCCTTCAGAACAAATGAGAAAACAGTACATTGTATAAAAATAATAGCATGGCTCACTTCTCAATGTTCACTTATCATGTTAAA